AAACCTCTGCCAAATTAGCAGTTCGAAAGCATGTAAAAATGCAAGTAGAAAAATAGGAACAACCTTTGGTGGGAAGGTAACAGCTTTCCATGCGCCTTTGGCATTTAGTCATGCTGGCCACATGACCATAGAAACGTCTTCAGACAGCGCTGGCTCTTTGGCTTCCTTACTCTAGTGGGCGGTGCCGAGATGAGCACTGCCCCTTAGAGTCGGGAACGACTAGCACATATGTGCGAGGGGAACCTTTACCTTAGTTGACGAAAAAGGTACAAATCTGTTTTTTTCTTTACACAATAGAAACCATGCTATTCACAAAATTAGTAGCTCTGTCTCATTGTGAAGTTGGTGTTTAATGCCTTTTTATAGCAATTTAAAATGTGGCAGGAATTTTTACAGTTGTATTTCTCCGGCTTTGCTACTCAGCTAATGCTGTGGTACTGTGCATGGCCTGAATTACATGAATAAATGATGTTACACCTTACCACCTTTCTTCCACACCCTTAATGATTTTGTGATGAAGTAATGTAAGCTGCAACTGACCTCTGCAACTACCACTCAAGTTCATAACATACGCATAGGCTATAGAAGCGATATTATCTTTACCTCTAAAAGTCCTTTCTAAGTGTCCTATGGTTTATGGCAGCAGTGAAATGCAGTTCAGGTCACCAGAGATTTATCCCCCTTTTTAATGTTTTTACTAGACTGAATAAACACATTCCCAAGGATTGAGGCCACTGGCTACTCCAAAGATCGGCAAAGCACAAGGTAAACTTGTTTAAGTTGAAGTCTGCAAGATTGACACTTCTTTACAACAATGGGTAGCTTTGTTAGCTTTAAATGGAAATGGTCTGGGCCCCATAGCTTACAATGTGCTTTCTTCCGCTGAATGCAATAAAAGTTTCTGGTCTTACTGGTTGCATATTGAGTTTCAAGCCATCTTCATCACAAGGTTTTTTTTTTAATATATATATATATTAATTTATTTCTCCATGGGGAAATAAATGTCCTATTATTTGGGTTTGGGAAAGTATATGGTTTCATTGGATTTTTGATATTAAATCATAATACCGTGAGCTNGGGGGAGCGAGCGAGCTGCGAGCGCCAAAATAAAGCGGGGTTTTTTGAGAAGGGCCCGGGACGCGGGAAAAATTATGGGAAGGCGTGCCTGTCCTACCAGATGCGGGACATCTGGTCACCTTAGTTATAGCATAGGACCTTAGGTTGTACATGTATTGAAAACGTTCAATAGGGATCACTTTAGGAAATCATTGTATTTTCTTTCTGTGTAAACGAGAAGTGGGGGTAATTTTGTTGCTTTAGGATTAGGCATAGCTCAGTGGGTGGGACACTATTAGATAACCTTATTTGCAGACTCCTATTGGAGGGAAAGAAACGTTATATGAGTGTTAACATTGCAGTCTGCATTTCAAGCTTGTATAGTAAACAGCAAAGTAAAGCAGTTACAAGCTCTTTCATGAGAGGCAAAGAAGGGATAGCATGCATTGCTTTGTACAATATATGTACAGGCCAGATGAAGAAATTAAACAAATTGATGGTGCTTTTTCATTGGTATGCTGGATTTAAGCATAGTTCTTCGAAAGGTAAGAATATTATCCCAGCCATTAAACAAGAAGTGATTGGACAAATGTTCACATCAGAACTCTCTAATATAAAATTGGTTTAATTCTGAAATGGCAACCCACTCATGAGTTTGGGGCCTAAGCATTTGTCATGAGATTTGCAATCTAAATTTACAGACGAGACCTTTCTATATAGGCCACAGGAATCTGTCTCTGATGCATGACTTTTTTAAAAACCATAAAAATCACTGATGTTCATTAGAGAATTGTGTTAATTTTTAGTTTAGTTTAGTTACCTGTCACATAAGAGACTTCCTTATTTTAACAAGTCTCCCAGGCATGCTATAATGAAAGCAACTGCCTACAAAGGGAAAAAAGTATAACACACTTAAAAATTTTCCCAATTGCATCATCCTTCAAACCCAAGAGATTCTTAGTTAGCTACTTCTGCCAATTATATAAAAGGTGGTTCAAATTATCATCAAAGATATTATTTGGAAAGCTTGGACTTAAAGATCCTTATTGCCAGATTTGGAACTAATTTCAAGGTTATATTTAATCTTTAAATGCAACATCAGGTAAAACAACATTCATTACATTAATTCCAGTTGGAATTAGAATTTACAAGAACTTATTGCTTTTTTGTTATTTAGAAGAAAAAGGAGTAAGGTATTCCTTTTGAAATGTTTTGACTGAAAACTTTCCATATAATAAGATTCTCCATACAGTATTTTGTGTCGATGGCTAAACCAGTACAGCTGTGACTGACCAGAAATTGAATTTAAAAAGTTATGTGCACATGTTTGGTTGTGAAAAGGACTAAAAATGAACTGTCAGGTTCCTTGCTGAGAAAATGTAGAACTAATTAATATCCATACTCCCCTGTCATTCATAAATGAAACCCAACCAATTTGCCATATTTTTATATGTTTTGTCTTGTTACAACTTTTTTATTGTGCCGTTGCCTGAACTCATCCACAAAATTTAGTAAGGGCAGATGGCAACTTGTTTTTTTGATTAGTGCTTTGAGCCTTTGGAGTTATAGCTCATGAAAACATTTTGGAAAATCAATAAATACGTGCTGTATTGTTGCAAATGATTTTTATGAATGCTGAAATTGAATAAAGATTCATCTTGGAAGTTCTTTAATAGGCAATGTATTACACAAAGGGCACTGTCTTATCAGAGATACATTATATTTAATCCAACATGGCCAATGTATAATGTAAGACATTGAAAAATCTTGACATAAAGTGTGATAAACTATTTTCATTCTGAGATCAGCAGTAATCAGATAATAATATGCCATGTTGCTGATGATAGCTTTAAGGGGAAAATACCTCAATAGTAAAAACACCCCCCAAGGACTATTTAAGAAGACTTCAGAACCAGAATCTGCAAAGAAAAGACAGCAGAAGTTGATATTATATTTCTAAAAATACAGGTAAGAAATGAAAATGTCTTCTATTCACCAACCCAAACTTCATTATACAAGACTATATATGATAAAGTAGTTGTATATGCTTTGGTTGTTCCTAATGCAAATGTTTTATAAATGGAACAAGTCAGGCAGCCAGTCTAATGCTACTAATTTAGCAATAAAAATAAGTATTCTTGGCCTCTTAATGCCTGGTTGGAGCCAAGGTGGTGCAGTGGTTAAATGCAGCACTGCAGGCTACTGCTAGATCAGCAGTTCAGCGGTTCAAATCTCACCGGCTCAGGGTTGACTC